GACATGGCTAAGCTTTTCATAATGATGGAAAGACCAATGCGAGAAAAAAAAACAGATACAGTAATACGGGACATGGACATTTCTTCTTTAGTTGCTTCAAAGGCCCCGTTTTTCAAATATTCCGAGGGTGAAACGACTGTGCGAGTCTCGTATCTTTGCGAGACCACGTCTTAAGGACCTTATGGAAAGATGCGCCAAATTTTCTACGTTTGACAGCGCTAAAAATGCGGCGCAATGTTGAAGGCTCTCTTGTCCAAATTGTATGGCTGTGGCTACCGTAAACTCTCGCCTCTATTTGCTTTGACAATAGGTTACCAGGGAAGGAAAGGTTGAACGCTTGTGCAAAGATCTTCACATATTACCGACATTTTCTAGTCGCTAATAGTTACTAAGCCTAAATAGTTGCAACGAGAACGAAGGTACAAGTTCGACACTGAGCCATATGAATAGGCCAGTCTTTGATGAAAACAAAGCTGTACGTTCAGAGGTCAATCTTGTCTTTCTAGCTTTGGTGTAGCCAATCAGCGTTTGCTAACTTAATTTATTACGTCTAGTGAAATGTGCTTGGAAAGAGGCTTTAATTAAAGAGAATCTTAGGTGTGTGCGGCGATCACGTTTGGAAAATGCTGTTGACTGATTTGAAAGATGGTTTCGCTAAGGGCAGCCTACGCCCTGATGCGTTGTGTATTTATTTGTAAAAAAGAGCTTCTCCAGTATCTTTTCACACACAAAAAAATAAATACTTCACTAGTTTATTTACCGACGTATCAACAAAGCGTGAAAAAATTAATCACCTGACGCTTGTGAAAGCCAACATTGAAAGCGTTGGTTGCATCAACAAGTAAGTGCCGATTACCTGCGAGTTCGTGTAATAATCATTTGAAATGTATTCGTAAATACCTCGATGAGGCAGTATTCTATGCACGCTAATCGTCATGCACTTTCGAAGTCTACTGAAGCCTTGTGCTGTCTGCGCGTTGAACCAAGTTTCGCGTCCCATTTAGAACGCTTCCAAAACCACCTTAGCGTAACCTATGATACCACACCCACGCTAGTCCATAATGGCATTTTTTTAGGAGCAGAACACTTGAGGAGCGCGGCTTATCACCCATCGATGCATCTCACTTGGCATGACCACGTTGGCAGTAAAGCGCAAACTACAGACCGCTACAAACCTAGTAATGTTAAGACCCACGTTAAAATTGACGAATAAGGTGTAAAAAGTACGTTTATTAAAAATTGTTGAGGAGTAACTGTGTTATTTACTTTACAATTGCTGAAACATTTACCAAACATAGGAATGACTCCCGTGGGGCACGAAAGAGGGCGCCACCGCCTCGTTGAGTAAGCGATTGACCCTCTGCGCCGATGGGCGCTCCATTGGCGTGGTGCTGAATCACAACGTGACTGCACTTGATGGGTTAAAAGAAGACCTGACAAATTCTGATCATGCGCAGCCGAAAACAATTGATATTTTGCACATCGAGTATTTGGATGTGCCTAGCAAGCTTTTACTCGTGCCAAGGAAACTCTATTGGCTTTGCACAAACATTGGCGTCATTGACATTTTGGTTTACGGAGCAGTGGAACTCAACGAATAAGTATCGCTGACTGCCCATCTGATTCGCGTCCTCGGGTTTCACAGTAATGGAGCTGTCGTGTATTTTTTTTTCGCTTCATCCGTAAAGCACAGGACACTTGACACATACAACATTGTAGGAGCATGGGCGAGTATACAGTTTTTTTTTTTTTTGAATGGCGATCAGTTTGGGGGGTGGGGCGGTGGTAACCTTAGGTGTTGCCTTCTTGGGCTATGCAGTTAAAAAACAAGTGAAACGTTCGGGTCATTCGGGCCGCTCATTTATTTTCTTTGCATTAATGTCACACGAAATGCTTCGATATACGTATAGTGGAGTGGTGTGTGCGCAAAGCATCACTATAAAATGTACCTTGCTAAGCTTGTTAAGCAAAAACAAACTACACAAAGCACTTTCCAGCATAACGACTTTGTTGGATGTTACTCGGTGAGCTAACCCGTTGGACATGCAGATGGTATTGCTATTTAACACACAGTAATGACGTCAGCAACAGTGCAGGAATGCCCGAGCAGAGCCGCTTTCATGCAGCTGCGAAGCTCGTATGTGAAGCCGCTTGCTGTGGCTCAGAGCACACGCAAGCAAAAAGTTAATCTTTTCGCTAAGCACGAAACTGTGTTATTTGTGAAGAGTGCAGATAATGAGCGCCGCATAAAGTAAAACCAGCTGGCGTACACCCGAGATTCTTCAAAAGAAGTACAGCTGAATGACCGGCCTTTAGCCTTCAGCGTGGCGGAAATGCGCCCGGCGGGAGAGGATCTCTAAGGCTAAGCGATACTAAACATGTAGGGGGGTAGGAATGTAAAGCTGGAATATGGGATGGCAAAAAAGGAGGTTGTGCTGTGTCCCTTGTCTAAGCTTTGTTGAGGGCTCGAAAGTTTTGGGTCACATTGTCAAACCACAACAAGCTATTACCAAGGCATTTGGTCTAATGTTTTATAATGCTTCATTCACACGCCAAGTTTTACTCAAAGAGTTGCTCAACAAGGCATAGACTTGTTGTCCTGAAATTGTTGTTCTAGTTTTTCTCTGTGTACCCTTCATACCCCTTCATAGTGCATGAAGTTACTGACAATTTTAATTTCTACCATTGTTGCAGTCACACAAAAAAATGCAAAATTTTGATTGCGACACACAATTAATGTAGTAAAATTTCAGGAGAGTAACCATAAGAATTCCTGTCACTTATGGATGTATACTTGGGAGATATAGTTTCAAAGATCTGTCAAAGGTTACACGGCGTTAGTCAATTCTGTACGCGGCGGATAAAAGGGAAAACATCGCTTTGCGCAAAATAGTATATACAATGTGTTTCACACTTAAAAGAAACCTCGGAGTGCTTATAGTAGATGATGCGGCCACTCTGCAGTCCCGTGCCGCTGCAGCAGACAATGCGGTTCAGTCCTATTCCCCTTGAGTGCCTGGGCATGCAGGAGGTGCTGATTGCGCGCGAGTGCAGCGCTGTCCCCACCACGGTGTCATGCATTGTGGTATTTCCGTGCAGGGTGACAGAGACTGTACATATATTCCTCAAAGAAAGGAAACAATGCTACCTGTTGATGTCGCGGCTGTGGCGTTTCCTTTTGGCTGCTTGTTTACTGCAAAAATACCATACAGTAATAATGCTAGCCACTTTGACAACTGATATATGCAAAACAGTCAATCTGAGCGTTGTCATTACAACACCGAGTGGTCGATAACTCACTTTGAAGTATAATCATATTACGTAGTCTGCTAAGGTTGATCGTAGTGGTATCGGCTAGCTGGAAAGAGTTTGCTTTTTTTTCAGTTGATGCTGTCAATCTCAGCTCATTTTCATTCTGCCTTTTTTGGTTAGGTCACAACAAGGTAACAATCTGAATATTTATTTTTTATTTCACACCTTGGTCTTCCCCTAACCAAGTGTTTTTCTGCTTTTTGTAAGATATAACACGTCTTAATGTTACCACGAGAGTAACAAAATGCGAATTGTGCCTTATAGAAAAACATGAAATGTTAAGAAATCCATTGTCGTCTGCGTATACACATGTGCAAATATAAGACATAAATGACGGAACATTTCCTTTAGCGAGAATTAACAGGTCATTTGCGTCTTATCGAGAGTTCGAGAAAAAATGCACATTGAGTGTTCGCGAGCCAAAAACACGTAGATACACATCCATGTGGTGTGTGGTAGAAGTCCACAAACTGATAGACAGAATGTGATAATGGTGAAGAAACGGGTTTACTCCGTGTATATAAAGATCAGGCAAAGTTGTAAAGTTGCAGTGACCGCTCAACAGAGGGGCAGTAGAAGCGAACGACTTTGTTTTGAATAGGTTACATTTTATTACTGTATATACGCGAGACCTTCACGTGTATAGCAGCATAATTTGGAATATGCCGTAAGACAGGTTCATAGACCAACAGTTGAGTTGTTGTTTTTTGTTGATGCAACTGTGTGCTGTGGTCACGGAAACATCTTTTGGTAAAAAATAATCTGTCCTCTTTGCTGGCCTCGATCAGCGTAACGACAACAGCGAGCCTCATTATTTGGACACACATGTACCGGCCTGAAAGCGCTTTCATTGGGTTGTGCATAAGTAGTAGATATTGCATTACATTATGCTCCCAATGTTGAGTTATTGATTATATATCTCTTAATTGACAGTGCCACAATCTGTATATCTTAGCGTGTACAAAATCAATGCACTCAGATAGTATGTGAAAACGCCAAAATACAAGCTAAAAATGGGTCCTGTGAACAATGGTGGGTAAGCATCTTTTTTATGCGTACTTTGCCTATTATTCTATTGTAATTATCGTACAATTCTCAAAGACGACATAGTGACATTACTGCCATTCCTTGTTCTTAGCATATATAGGAGTATATAGCTTTTGTCAGTCGTCACATACCTGGTCGCTTCTCACGCGCAACTGCGCTCAATACACAATATTACTATGAGCTTGGGAGTAAGCTACAGTGTAACGAGCTGGTCTTACTTCTCGCGTGTCAGGGAGCAATTACACGAGTGTTGCCCCTTTCACGTACAGGCTTTAAAATGCTCAGATTCATGCAAAGTACCCAATTGAACCTACACTATAGCATCAATTTATAGGAGGGGTTAGAAAGTCGTTAGTTCATTTGGGGCAATTTCAACAATCTATATCCGGACATAGTAACAACTATCCATAACCAGTTTTGGAGAGCCAACTATAGGCAGAATATTTCTGAAGCTTTGTTTGAAGCTTCCGCATCATCGGCGTTTGATTGCATTAACATTCTCACAGAAGCTTGGTTTCTTGTTTCTCTTGACTTTCAGGAACCCCCGAAAAATGATACCACATGAGTATTCACGTTGTTGGTGGTCTTTTTTTTTTTTACAAAGTCATCACTGCCATCTTATTTTAAAACGCAAGGCTTACCTTCTAAAGTTGTCGCTGCAACAAAGCAATTATCTTGAGCGAAATAGATATCATAGCGACCGGACACTGCATGGTCAATGTTAGCATAATCTGGAAAACGTTGTAGGAATGCGATATGTGTTTTAAAGGTCAACAATAATGTGTATCGCGTCGGAGCAAAGTAGTTTTTCCCACAGCACCTGTAGGCTGGTGCTAAACAGGGCATATTCAATGTAAAAAATATCTCTATTCAAATTGGTCCTATATATTCTAAGTTTCTGTTGCCTTATTGGTGGCACAAACAGGTGGCACAAACAGTTCACACAGATCATGAGCTCGCATTTATGGTTGCAACGCGGGGAGCCACCAAATGAGGGTGTACGATAAGACTATATATTAAAGTCATATATTAACCTACATAACGTCGCTTACAGCGTACATTTCTGTAGTTGCACTGCAGTCATTGGAATAATGTAGAGTGGCCTACCTATATTTTTATTGAAGTTTATTTATTTAGTTTGCTAATTATTGAATTTTTTATTTACTTCAGACTGTCGACTTCATGCTTGGAGTAACGTATTACATATTATTCACTCACACAACAAAGCAACATTCAATACAAATGAGAAATAACCGATTATTAACGAGCATAAACAAAAATAAGCCAGAGTGACTATACGGATGAACATAGAAAAACAAATGCTCGCACTAGAAGCTCGCGCATTCCAATATAAAGAAGACTGTGTAATGCATCCTCAAAATTTACTGACGTTTTTCATTTAACAACCGCATTAGATACGCTACACTTTATTTACATTTTGTCTTCGTAAAATGAGTTGGGGAAAGCATTCCTGCCATTGAAGTCTGCTTGAGCTGCTTTATTATTGTTAAGTCGATTGTATCACTTGCAAGTGGTCAAAAGTAGACATTTTTTGCTTATTTTTGTTTGCCTACTAATTATCCACAAAATAAAATTGAGGCGACGTTTGTAACTTGATATTGTCAAGACTCAAGTTCACAAGACTTGAACAAAGCCGTGCCAGGGTGTGTGTGTTGGTATTTACCGCCTACAAAAAGGACTGCAAGTATCTGTATTCTCTCTATTTTTGTCCTCAGGACGTTCTGGGGAGGCTAACAGACCTTGCTAGTTGCAATACACTCCATCGTCGACCGGCTTTTGTTTGTGGCAAGGAAAAAAATTTAATATTGTCCGTCGCCTTAGCAACCAAATAAAAAAATATTTTTGCTAAGATAAGTTAGGTAGAATGACGTGTGATATTTAATATATGCCTTCCTTTCATTAGGTTTTTATTGGAGCGCCTTCTTTAGGAGCCAGTTTATGTCACAACATTCATAACGTTTTTCTTTATTTCGAAAAACTATGTAGTGTATCATAGGACGGCCAAGAAAATAAAGCTTATCTGTTTAATGGACTTTGCAGACAAAGTCAAATTGAGTCTATAATACAATTATTACCTTAGAAAGGTCACCCATGATACAGACAGTACATGTGCGCTGGTCACTTTATATCTGTATCAAAACTTCTGAACACTAAGACAGATATACGGAACTTTGTTGTTGCAGTTATCCTACAGAGACGCCTCGCCCCTGCACGTATTGAGAAACTCGGTCACATCATGGAATACAGCATGCAGCAATAAATGATCGCTGCATAGTGACAGTGTGATAATGCACTAGAGAATCCTGACACGCTTTCAGAGTATACTACTGCGCTTTATCGCCAATTTGATAGTGACGAGATGCCTTTAGGCATCTTTTTGGTGTTTACCGTGATTATACACCGCTACTACTATCTGCAGAAAAAAGCTTGGATTTTTTTCCACCATCCTGTTTTCATGAAAAATGAAGCGATGCCAGAAAACTAGTAGTATACTTTAACAGGGAATATGATTTTATAACATTCATGAAGTACTTGAGAATGCGTCATTACCTAAAACTTGCATGTTGTAACCTCAAGTCACATCTACCTCCAGAAATATCTTTATTGTATTCTCGGCCACCGGCTATCCTGAGAGTAAACGTAATCAATTTGGAATAACTACTTATTGTGCAACAAAACCAAGGTTGATAATTTTTATTTAATTTAAATAAAAATTTTGAATAATTTGAAATAGAAATAGTAGGTTTTTTACGGCCAGGGAAGGTTGATCTTTGGATATATATTATAATACCATATTAAGTATGGACATTCGCGCTGTTAGCTCGAAGCGGGAATAAATCTGCTCTTTCATGTGTAAGTCTGCGCTATGGGGAAGTAAATATTGGATTTGTTTCAATATGTGTAGCTTTGAAAATCCTAGCTAACATAAGGTCTGTTAAAATTTAGTACTTATGTAAATCTTCAATTTACAAATCATAGTGAGCTTACCATTTTTCTTTATTATACTTGTGTCCAAAGTATCTGTAAACACCGTAAATGGTAATAATAAAAAAATCGTAACACACTATTAGCACGAGCCCTTTAAATATTTGCGGCTATCAAGGAGGAATACTTGCCTTTATACGCTTTCACAACAAGAAGTGGTGGTTTTCGTGATTTTACTTTAAGTAAGGCTTTCCTGAAATGAATATGCAAATGTAATTGTTACGGTCTCCTTACGAGCTGCGAGGTTAATCAATGATATTTCTCTCTAAGAGCACGACGTATAACAGAAGTAACACAAAATTGCCCTGTTAGCCTTCACAACTGTGGATAGTTATTTGTGAGGGAATGCGTTATGAGACGACACTAGATGAAAAGAGGGCTTTGAAAACACGTGAAAATGCCAAGCATCGTGTGCAAAAAGCAAGTTTAAGATCACCAGATGTGATTCTTACCATGCAGTGGCGTACCACCGCTTTCGCGAGGGGAGCAAGCCTACTTTATTCGTCCACCGATATATATATATATATATATATATATATATATATTATATATATATATATATATATATATATATATATATATATATATATATATATATATATATATATATATATATATATAGGTATGGGATATGGCACAACGGGAGCGTTGTCAACAAAGATAAATATATTTATTTCCCAACAGTTTCGGGAGGGAACCTCCCTTCATCAGGGGATGAGTTATACTGACATGAGCTTCCAAACTTCCTTGCTGTCGCGTCCCTCTCGCCTTGAAAGACGTTCGCCTACCACTTCATGACCGTTGAAGGGAAACGGACGAAGATTAAGGGTAAATAGCCGACCGACCCATTAACGAGAAACCTTTCCTTTACACACACCGCCCGCCGCCCGCCGAACGACCAATTACGGGGAAACCCCTTTCTTTAGGCACGCCGTCCCGGACCCTCCCGGCACCGCGGCGACAATCTTGGGTGGCCCGACACACGCCAAGAACTGAACAGCACGTGATATGAACCGTAGGTGGATGTAGACGGACAGTCGGCTTCGTTCTCAGTGTTGACAGTGGTTCTTCCGCTTTTTTACTTTCTTTCTTTTTTTCTTTTTTCGTCTTTTTTCTCCCCTTTTTTGTTTTTTTTCCTTTTTCTAGTTCCCTCTCACTCTCGCAAACGTCTTTCAAGGCGAGAGGGACGCGGCAGCAAGGAAGTTTGGAAGCTCATGTCAGTATAACTCATCCCCTGATGAAGGGAGGTCCCCTCCCGAAACTGTTGGGAAATAAATATATTTATCCTTGTTGACAACGCTCCCGTTGTGCCATATCCCATACCTTCACGAAGACTAACTGGCCCATTGAATTATTACTCCCACTATATATATATTTATATTTATTTATAAATAAATATATATATATATATATATATATATATATATATTATATATATATATATATATATATATATATATATATATATATATATAGGTATGGGATATGGCACAACGGGAGCGTTGTCAACAAAGATAAATATATTTATTTCCCAACAGTTTCGGGAGGGGACCTCCCTTCATCAGGGGATGAGTTATACTGACATGAGCTTCCAAACTTCCTTGCTGCCGCGTCCCTCTCGCCTTGAAAGACGTTCGCCTACCACTTCATGACCGTTGAAGGGAAACGGACGAAGATTAAGGGTAAATAGCCGACCGACCCATTAACGAGAAACCTTTCCTTTACACACACCGCCCGCCGCCCGCCGAACGACCAATTACGGGGAAACCCCTTTCTTTAGGCACGCCGTCCCGGACCCTCCCGGCACCGCGGCGACAATCTTGGGTGGCCCGACACACGCCAAGAACTGAACAGCACGTGATATGAACCGTAGGTGGATGTAGACGGACAGTCGGCTTCGTTCTCAGTGTTGACAGTGGTTCTTCCGCTTTTTTACTTTCTTTCTTTTTTTCTTTTTTCGTCTTTTTTCGCCACTTTTTTTGTTTTTTTCCTTTTTCCAGTTCCCTCTCACTCTCGCAAACGTCTTTCAAGGCTAGAGGGACGCGGCAGCAAGGAAGTTTGGAAGCTCATGTCAGTATAACTCATCCCCTGATGAAGGGAGGTCCCCTCCCGAAACTGTTGGGAAATAAATATATTTATCCTTGTTGACAACACTGCCGTTGTGCCATATCCCATACCTTCACGAAGACTAACTGGCCCATTGAATTATTACTCCCACTATATATATATTTATAAATATTTATAGATAAATAAATATATATATATATATATATATATATATATTGAGAGAGAGGGAGAAAGAGAGAGAACGTTATCGGTGCGCACGCACTTTGATATGATGACGTGCTCTCTGAGATACCATGAAGTTCAATCACACTTTACCACGCCGAGGCATGGCACCCTTAGCCCAATTTCTGCGTCTAGTATGCGACGCTCATTTTTCTATGAGGCCTCTTTTTCCTATTATGATTTGGCGGTCAACATGTACAGATACCATAACATTTTGTTTATTATGTTTTTTATGAATGCTAGTCATTGGGATGGAGATATACCAAGTGTCAACGACAATACATCCACGTTGAACGGGGCTGCCAAACATCGAAACATACATTCAGAAAACTCTGCTTTATCAGTGCAGAGTAAACATTTAGTTACCTCTGTAGAGGCGCGTTTTACTTTCGTGTTATATGCCGATTCCATAGACGGAGGGACCAACCATGATTTTTCAATGATTGTTTGCTGTTATATTTTTTATAGTAGGTGTTACACTTACTTGCATATATTCAGGTCTGTGTGTAATAAAATTTTAATTGAGTGCGAATAGTACGACCATTGTCTCTGAAGCTTGCTATACTACAATATTGCTACTGCTATATTACTGGTATTAACTTATTATCAACTTCTAAACCCTTTTCTTCAAAAACGTCTAACTTGTGGGGTTAAGGGCGTATTACATTGTTGACACTCATTGTATTTGTATTACCATTTTGTAAGAGGCGCCAAGGCACCTCCATAATTACGCATATAAAAAGAATGTAAACAAAATTTTCCTTAGAAAGAACAATATGTGGGCGATTAAAACGTTAATCCATCCCTCTTTACTTGCTTTCGAAATAGTGGTTAGCTGTACATGCACACAGCACCAGCTTGTTACACCAGGCCACACATGACGCGAAAATTATATATCGCGTAACGACTACTTATGCACGACCAGCTAAAAAACATGAGAATAAATTACTTTGAATTAGGCATACTGCCTGCATTTGGTTGTTTTCATTCAAAGGTTTCTATGTGCCACAAAATCGCCTGCTTGTTACATGACGTCACGAAGCCGGGGAGCGTCTCCTTCTAAATGTAGTTTAAGTATGTAGCTGCCAATCACATAAGCAGCAGCTACTTTTAGCAACTGGCAAGATGAATTTTGAGTATAATAAAGGATTTGCACTTGCAGCATAACGGTGTTTATTAGTTTGTGCACGCATACATCTCTGTCAGCTCATACTTGCCGAGAGAACGAAGAACAGAGAGAAATAAGCAGCGCTGCGCGTGTGTGCGTCTTTGCTGTCTGAGAAGAATTTCGAGCTGTAAAAGGCAATTCAAGTTGAGTGAAAACCAGCTAGCCCGACTCCTAACTAAGCCTCCGTCGTGCTAAAAACAACAGTTTTTCACCTTCTCCCTCATTTGATGGGTCAAGTTTTTAGACAAGCTTAAAAGCTGAGCTTCCTACTGAGCTCGAGTTCACTGCATTATTCTTCGCCACTTTGCGAGCTGCCTGTATAATTTAAAGTTACCATAAGCAAGGGTGATCATGTTTATCGGAAACTAAAGCGAAAACAAAGTTTGGCGTTTCAGTAGAGAAAAATTCAAGCATCAAAAATGATTCGTCACACTCATCAGCTTACAAAACTTCGACAGAGCAGCGGTGATGCTCTATCTTTTTCGAAAAAAATACTTTCTGGCAACAGCAAATCCTTTGACCGGTCTGTAAAAGTTTACTCTTTTCCACCCGGAACTGCAAGAACAAGTCAGCAAAGAATAAAAGCATGAACAAGAAATGTAATATCAGGGGGCTTCCGTTTGGTGCTTGCCTGCTCTGCAATAATACAGCACAAGACGTGAAAGCATTTATAAGCGACCTGCACTGCAAAGAGCGTAGAAGGAAAATAATTGAGTAATTACTGTTATGGCAAAAAACTTTGTCTTAATTGAAGGTTTTTCCAGCGTGTAGCTAAAGGTGACCACTGGTGAAAGTGGGAGAGCTAAGCTTCTTGCTGCCCCCCCCCTCCCCCGGCGGATGCCCCTATGGTACCGTGGTAGACCTATTACTTTCCGAATAAACTCTACGATTGCCTCGTGCTCACGTGTGTGCTGTAGAACTTCATTTAGGTACATAAAAATTTGTACAAAAAAGGTCACGTTTAGTTACAAAACATTGGAAGGTCAGAGTTGCTTTTAAATTTACCTTGTCATTCTCTTTCTTGTAAATTTTTATGATGTTTGATGTTGTAGCGGATTAGGCAAACATAATGCGTTACTAATAATTATTTTCACAAAAAATGTGTGAAAACGAGTTTTGGGATTTCTAAAATAAACTGTGTAATAAACTCTTAGCGGACTACATGGGCGTAATCCGCGCAGTATTGCGTGGGCCAAATACGATCATCGTCGGCTAAACACCTTTTGTATACCGGGCTTTCTGTCAACTTACATGAGTCCTGCAGGGCTTTTTTAAAGTTATCTTTCAGTCTCACCAAGATCAACGACCATTGAGCGTATGCATACGCTCAGTATGCACAGGTGTTGCCTAGCGCCACAGAGAGGCAGCAGAGTAGCATTCATGCGACGCTTGAAACTCGCATGAAAGTAGTTTTGAAGATGAATCTTTTCAACAGCGCTCGGCAATAGGAGTATGCAATGAATAACCTGCGGCAGTTAGCGCAGAAGCGTCACTTTCTGAGAACGCACCACCGAAGATTTAAATGCATTTTATAAAACTTACCGGTAAATTCGTTCTCTGTGTTTTAATACCTGAAAGTAAAACGTAAAGATATTCGCCTGAAAAACTATAGCTTTTTTCCGAAAGTTATCCATTACACTTGATAATAAAAAAGCGCAAATAACACAGTCGACGTTAGAAGGCCACAGCACGCGCAAAAGAAAACATATAATAGAGGCACGCACAAACCCTGTCGCAACAGCCCAGATGCCACATCGTAACAATAATGTTTGCTTGGCGAAAGGTTGGACCAAAAAAAAAAAACAAAGTTGGCGCCTTAGCTCTAAACATGAAAAAAAATCTGCAGAATGTAACATATCGTGAAATACCTAAAATGGCCCGGCTTTTGAGTTTCTCCTTACCATGCAGAGGTCCAAAATTTGATTTCGCATCACGGTAATGCAACTGAAGAAGGCTTGGCACTGCTAACTTCAGAATTGCCTTTAAATATGGCTTGCAATACATCGCACGCTACATCGTTTTTGTGTCTCATATAACTTCCTTGATCGAGTGCACACCAGCTAGGATTCTCGACTTTGCTACCAAGAAAAAAAATGGTGCAAAGAAATCGAGAAAATCAACTTGACGGTTGCTAAGCATGAAGTTTCTCCTACTATATGTCATTTATTCAAAGAATGCTTAAGTGATTGCTGATTCTAGCATAAAAGTGGTATGCGTGACCTATCAATACATCGCTGATGCCACTTACGTCACGGAAATGACGTCGGTAAAATGCGCGTTAACATGTGAGCAAGGAATAGGAGAAAAAGTTTCGGTGTTCTAGATGAAGTAGAATTCGAACTCGTAACACTCTCTCCGCAGCGTAAATGTACCGACTGTTATTCCTACTTAGGCACCGACACACTTGCACATGCACAAGGCCTTGCTAGCACGCGTCATGAAGCTTGCTCTTCCTCTTCTCACTGCACTTTAAGTTGCCATGGCTGGCGTCACCGTCTAGGAACCATGAAGTCAACTACTGCATCATTTCACTTACGAGAGTCAAACAGAGAGACTTCTAAGCGAAGTGGAGGCTATCACTGCAGCATGGCATATGCGATGATTCAATTTGGTGACCACGTAGTTACATGCGTTCTCCTTCGAATCATCTGAACGTCTCAGACCTGGTCGCCAATGTAGCGCAGCTCACAGATACTTTAGTAGGTTTTCTCGACCACCAATTTTTTTTAATTTTGATAATAACGACTAATATTTCCGCCGCTAAAAATGTCACAGAAAGGCAACAATGTAGGTGCACGAGCATCGAGAAAGTGTAGGCTTAGATGCATCGAGAGACATCTCTGCCTCTCGAGTTCCTGAAGCGATGTGTCGCAGTGTACGCACGAACTGTAGGTTATCCTATCACTGCGGAGGGCACGTCTTGTCGTTTGTCTTGTTGAATGGATAGTATTCGAATAACCTTGTTGCATATACGTGTTTTTATGATGCAGTTGACGCCATTTTTAAGTGTTTTTTGCAATACTCAGGTAAACCATGACTGCTTATGCTATGAATGTGTTGTATTAATGCTCATATACTTTTGATCTCGCTCTGTAGATATGAAACGAAGGATCACCATGGGTGCATCAGTGTTCAACTGTGCTTCACCCTCCAAACGTGAATAAAGATTGCGGAAAATTTCATAAATCAATGCACAATTAACATCGAGGTATTTTATTAATATGCACTTCACATAATTGTAACAATAAATTAAATGAATGAATGAATCCACTTTCATCCACTTTATTTACGCCAAGGGTGTGGTGGTGGATGCGGTGGTCAGGGGTCAGGGGCAGGGCACTATAGCATGTAAAAGTGGTCAACTATGTTCTCTTCAGATGTAATATTCAGGCACCACATTTACTGGACGTTCATGAACTATGCGCTCCTCCTCGTTTCTTGTGTTCGTTATCGAAAGTTTTTTGCGCTGAGAAGTTTATAATGAATTACCAACTAGCCCAATCACTTACTTTACTTTACAGACCATCATGTTGCAGTAAAAATATTTGAAAGATGCAGCATTATTTCTATCATAGTTTTGCAGCCAATCTCTGAATGGTCAGGTTTTTATCAATGAAATTCGAAGAATGACTAGGTTAACTATATGCACACTCAATAATTTCGTCTGTTGGCATGGCAAACTACAACAGGCGCTTTCGTAGTTGTAACTAGGTAGGACTTCTTTAAAAAGGCAGTAGCAAGCAAATGATGGGAGCTTGGGATAAAAAGTTTAACATGTATTGTAGTAGAGACAACGTTTTGACAAGCTCTTCCCTTCAGGGCTGCAGAAAAGCATTCAAGGCTGCAACAGTGTTAGCCTAGAAGGAGACAAATGTATTTGTCGAAGCGACGGCTGCAGCACAAGCCCTGTTTACAAGTTTTGTCGGCACGTAGCTTGGTGGTGATGATGATGATGGTAATTACTGGCACTAGGGCCATGAAATGGCCAAAAATCGCAAGTACATCAGACAAAATATATAGGCAATGAGTCTGGTTACGGGCTGTATAGGGGCCCTCAATTCATTGCGCTGAAGGTTAGTAAACATATATGTAATAAAATGACGACAGAGACACGATATGTGTGCTGTGGAAAAGATGGGCACATGAACCTTATGATAAACCTATAGGGATATGATATAGCACGAATGTCACTTCAACCTCTTTGTCTTCATAAACCATGAGACAGGAGCTTCGTAATGTGTCGACTGCACAGCAAAGGCCTTTTTTCAGAGGCAGCGCAAAAAGTTATCAAGGCAGATCTCGTGATAACAAGGAATATCTCTTAAAAACGCGAATGATGACTTCTGTTTGAGAAGTGGAACCCCGCCGACGAACAACGACGGATAAAGTGGTGTTTGCTCTCGGTAGCGGGATGTAAAGTGCTTTTTTTTTTTTCTAAAGCTGTGTAGTTTCTCCATTGGATTAAGATGTGGAAAATGGTTAGTGGTTCACCACATTTCACTGCTGGACAAATGGTGTGGATAAAAGGTGAATCACCGCCGGACAATAGGTATGAATGTATACTGTGTGGGTCCTATTCTTAGCCTCGAAGGTGTTGCGTCTGCATGACATGATAAATATTGGCGGGACTTGATAATGGTGGCCAGTTACCAAGGTGCGACTTGACGTCTAGTTCATTTTCGCGGAGACTATCCAGCGTACATTGAAATAAGCTTTGAGCAGTCGGAATTGTTCGACCTTCAAGCGCAGGGGTGGCTGCGGATGTATTAGCGGTGTTATTGTGGATGGATCGAAATAGCTGGTCCGGAATACCCTTACTTTTGTTTTTGCGCTGCCCTGGCAACCCAAACCATACTATCATATGTTTTTTGAAGGTGTAGAGTGCGCTAATGAGGAGTAAACCACACAAGGACAACATTTCTGTGTTTTAAGAGTAATGAGAGATCTTTTGATACGTAAAGAATCAGAGTAAATTAACTGCGTTTGTACTTTCAATTTTTAATGTGTTTGACAGCCACAAGTATCGCATGAGCTTCTGCTGTAAATATGTTTGTACTTGGATACAGAAAGCCGGCATTCGAAAAGGACAGACCGACCACTGCGTACGACAAAGAGGGGTGAGACTTTGAGGCATCTTTATGACTTCGAAGCATGCACCACATTCTATAGTCTACCTCTGCCATGGCGGGATATATGCAGCTGGGGACACCAGGTGCTGTTCAAGAATTTACACACCCGTTTCCTCAGCTAAGCTCCTCACACGAAGCTAGTAAGGCCGTCTAAACGAAGGGTGGTTCTTGAATAGGGCCGAGCAGGGCAGATGATTGATTATGGAGTGTGAGATGGGTTTTTGTGTGTGTTTTTTTCGGGTTATACACCAAGAAACTGTAAGATCTCTGCAGAGGTACCGACCACTCGTTCGATTCACCGTGAGAGTTTTTCATGGCCCTAGTGCGAATGACTCCTGTTTAAAGACGAATTTCTAAATGGTTCACTGGGTCAAGCATCTTGAGAGCGCTTGGAGTTGTAAACTGGAAGATTATTGCTCCATAATCAAGGCTCGTGTGTATGAGGCTTTCTGGCAGATTATTAAGGTGTTTGTTGTCACTTCTCCACCAAGTGCGCAAAATGACTTTCATTGTGTTCATTCTTTTTATACACTTACTTTATTACACTTATTGTTTGATATGCAGGTGAGTTTATAGTATAAAATGAAGCCTAGAAGTTTATGTCCTACCGATTCAGGTAACCGCTGGCCAAGCAAGTCAATTTCGCGATTTGGGTGGGAGCCTCTCTTTCAAGAAAAAAAGAAGACGTGTTATTTTGTAGACTAAGCCTGAACCCGTTTTCATCACCCCACGTGGAAAGCTTTTTCAAACAGAAGTGCCACGCACACATGGTAAAATTACGCGAGCTAATACCTATTTGGACATCACCCACATATGTTGAATAGAACATGTTATGTCAGATAAAGAGACTTAAGGAATTCATTTTTGTCATAAAAATAGTGCAACCCAGGACACCCTCCAGTGGTACTCCCACCCAATCTAACAGAAAAATGTTATTGGATTGATTACTTTTAACTGTGGTGAGCATCGTACCTCGCACACATAAATGTAAGGTTCTTGGCATTCAAAAACGCCATGTTACGTCATGCGCTTTTTGCATGTCCAGAAACACCGAGAGAAAAAACTGTTAGTGTAAAGATGCTTCGCGAGTTCAGCTTTAGTGCGTATATATGAGTGGTCGGTTGTAGATCGGCCTGCTTACGGGTGTAGTAATTTGTTGTTTTCGTTAAAATGTATTGATCTGAAATTTATAACTAGCTAGAAAACTTTACATAGGCGAATTTTTAACGCGATAGGCCTGTAACCAGGGACAGACGATGATGGATAATCTTTTACCTGTTTGAGAAAAGGTGTCACTATGGCATAATTCCAGAAAGTAGGGATGTACCGGAAAGTTTTATGCTACAATATAAGGAAGGTAGTGTTCTTTGGAGCATCGTGGGGTAAGTGTTTCAGCATGTCGTATACAATACTACTGGAACGTGCTGCAGAATCGCTGCAGCAGTTAAGTGCTGCCTGTAGCTCTGCCAATAAGAACAATTCCTCGTACCCTTTATTTTGTGGCAGATTTTCTTTCCATCCTTCTTTGCTTTATTCTCGTTCCTTTTAGCTTTATAATGTTTCGAAATAGTGTGTAGAGCTAGATAAATATTTGAAATATTCTCCCTGAATGTCAGCTTCGTTTTCCATGCATTCACCCTCGGTGTCCACATGAACGCCAAAATTCCTGGTTTCTCTACTACTTTAGTGCATACTTTGGCCTCATCTCTAGAAGAATTGCTACCCGATATGAACTACTGCGAGTTGTTCCTTCTAGCTAGCTGGCGCCTTCTTTGGCCAAGCCTTGTGGCGCTCGTCGTACCTCCAAAGAACATGACCTTTGCCTTACGCCCAGTTCGAACTCCTCCCAGTTGGATCTTTAAAGCTTCCACCGAGAAGCCGGAGTTGAAAATTCATTTTGGTTTTTGAAGAGTATTAGAAAATCGCTATGTCTAAGCTTTTTGACGACTCCCCAATAAAAATAAAAAAAATGATTGAAAAGATTGTGGTAACATCAATTTAAGAACAAGTTTCTTTTCAGACTAAAAAACGTAGGTATTTTACGTTGCGTAGACATGCGGCCAAACAGAAAAAAGGCTACCATGAGCACTGAAGCCGCCAGGGACAAGGTAAATCTCGGGCAGCACATCAATAAATGATTTGAATTCATATTTGTGTAGCTTGTAGTCGAGTGTATGTATATTGAGTAGTTTGTCAGGAGTGTCTGTGGAATCATATCTCGACTTGCTGCTGCTTCCAGTGCTGTTTGGAACGATAGCTGTTCACATGCACGTTTTTGTCGAATAGAATCGCAACACCTCAAGAATATTCCAGAGCACGCTGGCAGTCTTTTCAGAAAACCGCAAACTGATAGAGATAATTTAGGTGTTCAGAATTTAGCTCTGTCTTCTGCAGACCCAGGACCTTTGGACTAAATTTGTTTAGTTCTTGAAAACTGTCTAGTTTTTAGTAACAGTCTTCTAATTGTGCACTGCAATATTTTGTTCATTTTGAAGGTGTGCATGTGCCGCGTGGAGAAAAGCGATTAACTTTGAAAGCTCTTTGTAGATGTGAACTTAATCTTTCTTGAAGCGATCGAGAGAACTTAGCCGCTCCTTGGCGTAGTCTAAGCCGTCGAGCAGGAAGTGTCTATCGCGGCTGTCGTGTTGACAGGCAGTCACTCTACCTCATGGTGTTTTCAGAGAGTACGCTTTGTCACATTGCATGATACTTTCGGCCATACCGAGCAAGAGGTCAAGGTTTGTGTGCTCCAGGGCCGTGTTCAGGATGAGTGTGGCAGCCGTGGCTTCTGCCCCTGTGGGGAACAGGTGGCATTTGAATCGGCACATCATGCATGTTCCTAAGCAACGCAAAAATCCGTAGTTGTTCGCTTTCGGTACGAAAGAGCAGGTGTTTGCTTTCAGTAGGAAAGAAATTGTGGAAGCACTATTGCCTAAATGCATCATTGGTGCGCGTGTCACATTTGCGGTTAACGCCACCGTGGTGGTCTAGTCAATAAGGTACTCAGCCGCTGACACGGAGGCCTTATGATTGAGTCTTGGCATCGGCGGCTGCGTTTTTGATGTAAGAGAAAATGCTCTAGGCTCATGCGCTCAGATTTGGGTGGGTGTTGAAGAACCCCTGGTGGACGAAATTTCTGGGGCCCTCAACAAGTGCGTCTCTCATAATCATATGGTGGTTTTCGGGCGTTGAACCACACATATAAATTAATTACATTGACGACTCGCTCAAGCAGCTTGTTGTACATGTTTTATCTGCACTCACATTGTACGACAATGGCTTGCGGAATGCTTTGCAAATGAAGAAACGCGGGGTCTTGAATGCATCGTAAAAGCTTGGTTTGGCAAATACGTATGCTACCAGGCAGGTGATGATCATGATGCGTTGGTATTGTCGTAAGCGGCGACGAAACTGCGCGTCTGTCTTACCTTCAAGGGACACGAGCTGGTGCAAATCAGTGTTGCAAAAGGCATGCCCTGCCTCAGTTGAGGAGCGAGGAATGTCATGATATTTTTATATTCACATCTTAACAGCTCCGCTTAATCTTTCTGTACCTGGCTTGGCTTTGTACTGGTGAAATTGGTTCAGATTTTTCTGTACGAATACGGTAGTCTATTGATGTTTTAGTTAGATTAATTCAGACCGTTTCTTGGATACCGCTTACCCCACTCTCCTGCTACAAAGCTCGTTATTCTACTGGTGTTTGAGAACCATGCAATGCTGCCTGGGTGTCTTGCATTATGTAGCAACGGACCGCTGCAGACTGTTATCTTTCCTTTAGGTATGTCGTAAACCCTTAAATTTTTTGATGAACCTTGCCAGCACTTTAACATTGGCAAAAAAGTGCGTAATTTAAAATGAAAGATCTAAAATAAGGTAATAACACCAGTCATCGAACCAGCCTGAACTAAACTGACCTGTATTGTTGTGTATCTGCAGTTGATAGAAGGTGGTCCCATATCAAGCCGAACGATTCAGTACTTTGACGAATTTATGATGGCCTTTGTTTCTAAAACATCATCTATCAATAATTTAGGACAGTTTGCCAACAATTATAATTTTATTGTTTAAAACTATACTGCCATGGCAAGATATTATTCGCAAGCTACAAAGTTATATTCATATAGGCGCGTGCAGAATAATAATGCAACAATAAATGCGAACTTACTGGTTTTTCTCGTGGAATGTAGCTTAAGGAGTGTATGAATCCAGTTAAGGTGACTGCATGGTAATGAGATCTTACGCATGTCGGGTAGTTGCTTTGAGAGTAAAGTCCGTGTGCTACGCGTATGTAGTCTCTCTGCTGCAGTAACTGCATAGAATGAAAGAAATAAAAACATAAAGACGTATAAGGCCACGTTTTGCAACTCCTGCAATCGACGAGGTCCCTTCAATGCACTAAACCCCTCACGTGGCTGGCAGGTCTTACGCAGTTGCACGTGTGTGGTCTGGCGGCTGCACCCGCTCACGGCCGACTGAACACAATCCGGTGGATGAGATCTGGGAGGCCGACCAGATGGTCATCTGAACCGCGGTATGGTACAGGACCTCAAGAATGCTACAACACATCTCACATTTCTAATCTTCAGGTTCCTGGAAGTCCTCGTACTCAAATAGCACCCTCAGGTCAGGTGCAATTTCAAATTTACGCTCCCGGTGGTTTCATTGCAACCAGCTGCCACAAGCTTGGCATGCGTCTACAGAAACATTCGTAGAGTGGAGATGGCCATGAGAGCGGTGCCCTGGATGAAAAAACGAACTACACCACTTCCCGCTAAAGGAAAACATGTGTAGATGTGAAGCCGCGGCCGCTAACGCTTACAGTGGTGGCGGCGTTGAAACGGGTGCCCATCAGGGCGTCGAGCAGGAGAGATACCTTGGGAGGCACAAAGCCCGCAGTGAGTAATCAGTGTTTTCTGCTGGAACGTGCCAACCGCTGCTAATGCCAATCAGAGACAGAAGAGTTCAATTGGGCACAGAGACCGAAAGTCCACATTTAGTTAACGCGCACGCTGCGAACTTTTACTGTTCAACCACGTACAGGAGAAAATGGAAGTCAAGATCCAGTGCCTATATATACAGGGTGGTCAGTGAACTTTTGTGCAGCACGATCAGTCAGTTTTTTTTTTTGTTATCAAGAAACTCACTAGCAGACTATGACTGCGTCGGTATTGTGAGGCGAGAGAGGGGGGAGCATAGGAGAGAAGGTGCAAGGAAGATAATGCTCTATGAAAAGCACTAAGGCGCCATTTTTATGTTATATACACGAGTACTATTATAAAAAGTGACAACGTACGTTATTCGCTGCCGAAAAGACGCCGCTGGAACCTCGCGCTGGCGTGCATTACAGTGAAGATGTGGCAAAGGCAGCCCTTGTGGTTGTGCATTTAGAACTTTTTTGTTCCCTAAACACAAAATCTGCTCTTTCGAGACTTCAGGTTTATCTTACCGACAAACTATTCGACACAATAATATAAAATACACAAATTTACGTGTAACGCTACATTGCGAAAATGAACCAATAATGTGAGTAAAAGTGGTTTTTTTTTCCAAATTTCTCACAATATTTGGCAATATTTACACTTCACTTGCTCCCGAAGTGTTTCAATCATTTGTTATATAAACAAAGAAGGTGATTTTTATGAAAAACGCTAAATATGCAGTATATTGAAATTTCTCACCAAAGCAAAAAAACAGAAAACGAAACCAAATTGAATAAACTATCAGCATCAGGAAAGACTATTGCCTTGAGATTTGTTAAAAATAATTCATAGTAACTACTTAAACCAGTGGTATTATATATATTATTTGACGTGACACAGTTTTTCTTCCTTGCCAAGCGTTTACAGCGCCCTCTAGGCAACATAACTTTTTTGTGAATTCTAAAGCCTCAATAACTACTTCGCACATGCACATATGCCTTCACAATTTTTTTACATGATTAAAGGTGATCGCGAATTGACCAGGTGCACGTGATAAGACATAACTGATTTGTAAGTGCAAGTGTATCTAATGTGTATTCGGTTGTATTTTATATCCTGTGTATTTTGTTTGCCCTCCTGCAATAGGTCAAACATTGGAACTGGCCGTTTGTATTATATACATCAATATATATATATATATATATATATATATATATATATATATATATATATATATATTATATATATATTAATATATATGATAATGATAATAATGATCATGATATATCATCAGCCGCCTGACTACGTCCACTGCAGGACAAAGGGCTCTCCCATATGCCGCCAGTCAACTTGGTCCTGTGCTTGCTGCTGCCAATTTATACACGCAAACTTCTTAATCTCATCTGCCAACCTAACCTTTTGTCTTTTTCTAACTCGCTTGCCTTCTCTAAGAATTCAGTTAGTTACCCTTAATGAACAGCGGTCATCCTGTCTACGTGCTACATGCCCGGCCCATGTCCATTTCCTCTTCCTTCTGTGATTTCAACTATGATATCCTAAACCCCAGTTTTTTCTCTAATCCCCTCTGCTCTCTTCTTGTCTCTTAAAGTTACACCTACCATTTTCTTTTCCATTGCTCGCTGCGTTGTCCTCAATTTAAGCTGTACCCTCTTTGTAAGACTCCAGGCCTCTGCTTCATAGCTAAGTACCGGCTAAATGCAGCTGTTGTATACATTCCTATAGAGGGATAGTGGCAGTCTACCTGTCATGATTTGAGAGTGCTTACCAAGTGTGCTCTACCCCATTCTCATTCTTCTAGTTACTTCGGTCTCATGGTTCGGCTCCGCGGTTATTACCTGCCCTAAGTAGACATAGTCGTTTACAAATCAAGTGCACTATTACCTATCTCGAAGCGCTGCTCTCTAATGAGGTCGTTGTACATTACTTTCGTTTTGTGCAGATTAATCTTAAGACCTGCTTTTCTGCTCTCGTTCTCTAACTGCATAATCATGAGTTAAAATTCCTTTCCTGCATGCAATGTCAGCATTGCAATGTCATCGGCGAAGCGTAGGTTATTAAGGTATTCTTCATAAACTTTTATGCCTAAACTGTTCTCTTTCTAAGCCTCTGAAAACCTTCTGTAAGCACGTGGTAAATAGCATTGGGGAGATTGTATCCTCTTGCCTTACACCCTTCTTGATTGGTATTCTGTTGCTTTCTTTATGAATCACTATGGTAGCACTTGATCCCCTGTATATTTCTTCCAGTATGTTTATATCTGCTCCTGTCGACGACCTTGTTCCGTGGTGTCTGCATCACTGCTGATATTCGTACTGAATCAAACACCTTCTCGTAATATATGAAGTCTATGTTAGTGATTGGCTATATTCTAAGCATTTTTCTATTACCTTATTGATAGTATGAATGGGGTCGATTGTTGAGTAGCCTGTTCGAAATCCTGCTTGTTCCTTTGGTTGATTGAATTCTAACGTTGTTTTGATTCTGTTAGCAAACGCCATTGTAAATAGCTTGTATACTACGGAGAGCAAGCTGATCGGCCTGGAATTCTTCAAATCCTTGTCATCCCCTTTCTTATGTATTAGGATGATGGTAGCAATCTTCCAAGATTCTGGTACTCTTCCTGTTAGGAAACACCTCGTAAACGTGGTTGCTAGTTTTTCTAACACAATCTCTTCTCTATCTTTCAGCAGATCCGATGTTACCTGAATTGCACCAGTAGCTTTGCCTCTTTGCATGCTCTCCAAGGCTTTTCTGACTTCTTCTATTATTACTAGTGGTGTGACATCTGGGTTACTGCTAGTTCTTGTATTAAGGTCATGGTTGTACTGGCTACCGTACAAATTTCTGTAAAACTTCTCCGCTAAATGTACTATCCTATTCATATTGGTAGTTACTTTGCCTTCCTTGTGCCTTAGTGCACACATCTCGTTTTTTCTTATCCCAAGCTTTCTCTTCACTGCTTCCTCCGTTCTTCAGAGCACGCTCAATTCTCTCCATGTTATAGCTTCTTACATAAGATACATTACGCCTATTAATCAAATTTGAAAGCTCTACCAACTCTATTTTGTCTGTTGTACTTGAGCGATCATGCTTTGCCGCTTTTTGATGAGATTCTTTGTTTCCTGGGACAGCTTGCCAGTGTCCTGTTAACTACAGTACCTCCCACTTCCACTGCACACTCTGCAATAATACTCGTCAGATTATCACTCAATGCATCAACGCTAAGAATGTTTTCATCAATAAGAGCCGAATTCCTGTTCCGAGATGAGTCTCTGAATTCCTGTACTTTCCTTCTCAGCTCTAGCTCATTGAATGACTTGTTGCGTATCAGTTTCTGTCGTTACTTTTTTAATTCTAGGCAAATTTGAGACCGCATTATTCTATTGTCACTGCATCGTACCTTGCCAAATAGTTCCACATTCTGCGCAATGGCCAGGTGTGCACTTAGTATAAAGTCCATTTCGTTCTTATTATCGCCATTAGGGCTCCTCCATGTCCCCTAACAGCTCCCTCGCTTTCGGTAGAAGGTATTTAAAATCCGTAAACTATAAACTATTGCGTTCTGCGAATTCTACGAGTAGCTCCCCTCTGGCAATGCTAGTACCGATGTCATTATCTCCAACTGCCAGATCTTCAATATATATATATATATATATATATATATATATATATATATATATATATATATATATATATAAATTGAATTGCGCAAACGCTGTACCATTGGCATTACCAGTCTACCACAAATTACTTACTACAACGGATTTAACCAACAACACAAATATCAACTAGACTTAGCAGACAAATTCACAACGGTTAAAACCTTCCAATAAATTAGCCTACTCTCAGCTTTCTCGAAATTGACGAGGAAAAAATTTCAACTTTTAGACGCTTACCTTTCTTACTCGGCTAACTACGATAGAATAATCATATGTGATGCTAAATGCTGGACCTGAAACGATTTCGGAAGGAAGGTATCATAGGTGTACAGAAACAAATTCGGCCTCACGTGCAATAGTTGCGAAATTCTGACATTTGTCTAGTAACACTTCTTTCGGTAAAGAAAATTAAATTGGTTGATTCGTAATCATTTTCGAATAACGTCATGGCATCAACTAGAAAAGGTTGATGAATTTGTTACCATGCTTTTTAACATGACATTCCATTCTGTGAAAGGGAATATTTTGAACGCAAATCTGATAATTCATATCTGCAGTAATTACAAAAACCTTAAATTACGCTGTAAAATGAAATACGATATTCTTGAGGTAGGATATGCTATGCGCAGGAAATGCATTTGGAGAACTCCGTTTGAAGTGAAGCAAAGTGTGAGCAGTTATGGCTGCATTAGTCCTTATCACTAAAACCCCAAACATTAGTTGCCACAAACACGTATTAACTACTAGTATAACGTGAAATATTTCAAGTGGTCAGTGCAGAAAACTTTATGAAGTGAGGTGTAATAATAAACAATTACCATTACGTGACGTTTTTTTCGGTTGACGAAACAGTGAGCAACTACTCTTTTTTATATGAACTAATCGCACTGCGAATGTGTAGAGCAATGCCGTACCTTCAGTATATTCAGTATATCATAGAGTAAATGTTTGTCTCAAAAATCTTTTGATTTCTTTTGTCAGCATGCAAACTTCTGTGCGACTGTCAGCAGTTCGTGAAGTTGTGCGTTTCTCAATCTTCATTATAATACTGTAGTGTACACATGCCTATGCCCTCGTTTAAACTCGTGGCCATGGTGGTCTTTGTGGTTATTAAAGAAATATTTTTGCGAAAGCCCTGTTCCTGTATTTCAAGTACGCGTCACATTAATACGTCTACTTTTGTCGCAATATGTGTAGTAAGCCTGAAATTCTTCACTCTTTTTTTTCGGTGACCTGCATGTAACTTAAAGCAAAATACCAAGTTCGCTTTAATGTGTGCTCTATATTGTGGTATTCAGAAGACATATTCCGTGTATCTTGGAGCGTGAACAAAACGAGAACGTCTGGGTATACAGACAAAATATTCAACGAAATGTCTCTCTGGTGCCCATCACTCTGCACAGCTAGGCAAAGTTCAAAGTTTAACTGACGCTTTGACAGATAACAAAAAACTACAATGGCGAGGCTGGGGGGGGGGGGGGATAGGGCCGAACTGTTTTTTTTCCAAAACAAGGCCAATACCCTGAATAACATTTTGTGTAGTATCATCTCTGATGAATATGCTTTGCCAGTGTGCTCTTCATGCTTACATATACTGATTTCCTATTTCTCGAAACATTGTTAGCCTAGAAGGTAGCATTATAATGAAATGAATATTTGATTAATGTCAACTAAACATAGGATTATTATCAATAGAAAACTGATTTGCTGATGTTATTTGGCAAAGTACCACTACGTTGAGGATGAAGTTGGATAGAGAAACCTGAGCAACGTACAGCTGATATGAAGAAACGTGTGATATGACACCAATCATGACAATAAAATTGCATACCACTGTTTAAATACACTTCATGTGTTCCTGTCCACACACTACAGCGATATAAAATACATTGAAAACCACGAAACCTGCTGTGACGGTATGCTGGCGCGGTAATTCTGCCGTCTAAAGCAGACGACAATTCAAGTTCTCTACAAAATCAGCCATCGCATCCGCCTTCTATGCTGTTCAGATACACTAATGAACACATTCAAGAGGCTTTTATAACAAATTAGTGCTCTTTCATTATGCAACCTTCAACTCTTATTGAAGTGCACCTAAAACTGTAGTAAATTTTTGTATTGATCGTGTGTTATTATATTAATGTGCGACAAGTAAAAACACTTCAGTATTTTGGATATTTTATGCTAGCGCGAGTATCATATATTCAACAAAAATTACTCACCACAGAAACAAAACCGTAGCGTCGACAAGCTTGACATGAAGAAAAGGCAACTGAGCGCTAAGACCATGTGTTTCATCTGACGAGAAAATAACACTATTGATCAAAAAGGGCTCACGCTTACTGCATAATTGTACAATGTGTTTCAAGAAGTGTGACGAAAATTCTTAAAATAATCACGAAAACGCTGCATTTGCTCGCTGTTTACTTGCTTGCTTTTTTTTGTAGCAAAAGACTTTCGAAGATGGCTAAAGAAAACATTTGGGACAGTAAATAAAAGTTTTCGGTAATTAGGTTTTAATCAGTGGTGCCAACCTTTAAAATTTTATGAATTAATTTAGGTTTTCCTTTTAAGAACCTGATGCAGCTTTATGATATTTAAAAAGAGGCTTCAAATATTAGTTGCGAGGTCGTGAAATTTTTCCAAAACGTGCGGCAAAACCGAAACCGAAATGAGAAAGAGCGTTACTGGCTCATTGTTCAGCTACGTCCCGAATGAGTGAGGGTAGTGATTGTCTGAAGTTCAATATTTCACATTATTAATTAGAGGCTGCCATTTTTTCATCTCATTGCTGCGATTAGGGGTTTCACGCATGAAGAATTTATATTTCCCTGTTTAACCCACCTTCACAGCTTAACTAATTAAAAAAACTTTTATGTTAACTTTTCTAATTACTGTTACAAATGATCGCTTCAGTCATCCTAGAAGGCAAGTGTCTAATTAAAAGGCATTTGTGAGGAGAGCAAGCAAATATTATTAGATTTGCCTGATTTAAAAATTTTTGACACATAACTTCAAACGCCCTGTATTTTAGTATTCTAAGGAAAACGGGGGACCGGGCCTACGAGACTACATGGGCGTCACTTCGGAAAGCAAATCGTGAGAGCCATGTCGTGTTTTTACTGCGTTGTTGCTTCGTTTTCGTACCGAGGTTCGCTTTGTAATCATGATTGCATTGATCCGAAATGACGTTCTCCTTTGTAATATTTCCTCGTAGCCTAATAGGGTGAGGTTCATTTGCGAGATTCAAATGAACCATGCATACTGCTAGGGAACTAACATACGGACTATCGAGCTTTTCAGTTCATCAGATTTTGGAATCGGCCTGTTTGCGAAATCTGAACAGACTTGTAAAATACCGCGACAATCAAAAGATGAAGTGCCACATGTCGACCATCACCTGAACGCAAATGATGTGTCCGGACAACGTTTTACTTGTGACGTCGCAAAAGCAGAAACTGCTAGTAGACATCTTCCCCACCACGGTGGTCCAGTGGCTAAGGTACTCGGCTGCTGACCCGAATGTCCCGTGATCGAATCCCGGCTGCGGCAGCTGCATTTCTGATATAAGCGAAAATGCTGTAGGCCTGTGTGCTCAGATTTGGCTGTACTGTAAGGAACTTCAGGTGGTACAATATGTGAAGCCCTCTATTACGGTGTCTTTCCTAATAATATAATAGTTTCGGGACGTTAAACCCCGTATATCTATCCTCGTCAATCAATCAATGCAAGTGGACATTTGTGTTGATGGCTTCTACTTTGATCATATATAGTTCAATCTCCCTATCTTCGGCGTTCGCTGCTAAAACTGAACGCCGAGGACGCGCAGCTTCAATTTTTACTTCACCATGTGGTGGTAGTCGTGGAATACGGTGTTTAGTAGGCGTAGTTGCTTTGCCATGTGTCTGCTCTTGGTAATGTGTACAATGAGTTTAGAATAAGTTGTTGCTGGGCAAGTTGGTGCATATTAACACAAAGGGTAACTGCGCTGCACACGTATTCAACAGAGACGCACGCATAAGTGCAGACTTCCAACAACTTAGTAAGCGCAGTTATCCCCTTTGTACGAACTATCAGCTTGACCTGAAGACTTCAAGGCACCATGTTTGGCCTTCGACAGATTCTTGTGACGTCAAGCTCAACGCGGTAACGGTTGTCGCCACAGGATACCGTCTCGTACCTTTCTCACGGACACTTAATACCTTTCTGAAAGAACCCTGCGCGGTGAAACAGTCCCAGTTTTAGCAATAGACCCAGCTTTCTTGGACCGGCTTGGGCCCTTTTCCAAAGGGTGACTGTATAATATTGATACAAGCATCGGTTTTTCATTTTCTTCACACAGCATACCCTTTTTTATTGCATTTGATTAGTTGAATCTTCATGGCTTACACTATTATGAAACATGCATGGGTTATATTTTGTTTTTGCTTAGAAACTTTTTGAATAAAAACTAGAGAATACGACATCAAGACAATAAAAAAATTAGGGTTCACGCACACCGAATGGGAACCTTGATTAATTTTTATTGTAAACAAGGGCCTTGTTCAGGGTGCTGAAACATCAATGCCTTTTCTTCTCTTTTTGTCGACGTCCTCGTCTTTTTATTCAATAATTCTTTTTGACCAGACGTGTGACCACAGAATTATCAATTTCAGAAACTGTATTCATCCATTTTGAACTAAATTAGCTTGAAATTCCAATCATTGAGAACAATTTTACGTGAAAACCTACTTTATAATCAATACATGATCATCAATTGTAATATTGTCATCTTGATTTTTTTGCTAGATCTGCGTGGCGCTAATCAGCAGACTTTTTTTGTTGAGCGAATTTTGAATTTTATATGTACTATATTTATTTTAAGTGCACTTTTCTACGAAAAAAGATTTTACAGCTACGTAGCTGCCCTTGCCTGAAATATAATGATGAAGTAAATACTGGTTGTTTTCTTCAATACTTGTTCTGAACGCGTTGATTGTTTAAAAATCCACCGCACTCACATTAATGCAGACGAGTTCGAAATCCAAGACACTTCTGCTTATGAACTATGCTTCCAAAACCGCTCTAGTTTAAAATGTTGAGAACATAAAATACACTTAGATTTGCGTCAGAATGCTGTAAAATTACACCAATTTTACTTTTGTGAAACTGTCTTCATTCAAAAACAACGTGCTCATGTGTAACAAAACAGCTGAATGAGTACTTGAGAAGAAATTAATAAAGTAAGGCTCATAAAGTAAAAACGAGTATATAACGTCACTATGATCAATTGGTATAGCAAGCAGAGCAAAAACAAGCTGTACAAAATAAATATGTGAAATAGAAAGATAAAACAAGCGAATCTATTCCCACCATAAAAATTATATCACGTAAAGCAGATGATTCAGTCAACTGAGAACAAAGGAAAAATTAAGTGACAATACCAAATGTGTTATTGGCTGTACAGACGTACCAACAGGTGTTACATAACAGAGGGCTTCACAACTAAGGTATTTGAGTCTACTGCGGTTTCCAGAATTGTAAACATTGTGCGTCTAACAATTTCATTTCAGTATTGCTGTGTGTGATCTGCTATATATAGAATGAATTATGATGTTGCAGATGGCATATTGTTAGGCGTTAGCAGAGCACCTAGAAACTAAAATTTACTCAGGCTTCAGAATTAAGTCATTTTTTCTTGTCTGTAGATTGAGTTTTACAGTGAAAGCTGTTGTGAGATTACAACAAGGGTCGCGTGCGGCACCGTAGTTGCCCGCTGCTGCTGCCGTTGTGCATAACCACTATTGCGAAAAATAGCAAAAAATCCAAGTATTTAACATCACCAAAAACTCAACGTTATTTGAACCCGGGTTCCTGCCTGCCAGCCTAGTATTCTACCACGGAGCTACGCTGGCGCAAGATACTACGTAGCAAACAGGTCTTAGGCAGGCTTGATGTCTGCTAAGGAGTCACGTTAATAAGAGTAATAAGTGTTTTAAAATGGTAAAGGAACACCAACCAGGCGTCTCACACTAGTGGGTCATTGAATTCTCCAACTAAATACAACAGCTTCAGGTATAATTATTTGTCATCTTCACCCACAGGGTTGAAGAAATGCGCGAAACTCTTTGCAAGCGCGTAATGGGTACCACGCATCTCCAAAGAATGGCGAATGAGGGCATATGAAATGTCTCCTCTAGTGCAGAAAAATTACGTGTAATGAAGTAGTAGTTACCCTGAAAGCGTGCTTGTACTAGTCCCTCAAAGAGTGCTTAGCAAAAGACTAAAGGGTCGATCTTTCAGCTTTTGCTGTGACTGTGCTGCACGTTTCGCGCAGACCTGGCGTTTTATTTTTTAATATGCATCATTTTGTTGTGAGATGCTTGGGGTTTTTGAGGGCTGCGTTTTGAGTACACCTTTGAATGCTGCAAATACGAGTCGTGAGATCATAATACGCATTAAAATACTACGCACACCTCTCTACCATCATCGTTTCGGCATATGCACCTTCGTTCATAAATCAAGGCGCGAGTTTCCGAAGTTTTATTTCTAGCGATATGCATGCTTCCCCAAAATATTTGGAATGAACTTTTTTTTCTCGCACATCAAAAACGAATGCACGTGCTCGAATTGATTGAAGCAGGTTCAATGCGCTTCACTCTCCTATTTTATTATTTGAAATTCTTTACAGGCCTCTTCGGCATTGTGTAAGGGAAGCTCTGAAATAACATTATTAGGCAAAAAAAAAAACGTGCAGGAATCAAACACCACTAGGAAACAACGCAGGAAAAAAGTGAACACTTCCTAAATAAGATGTACATAATGCTTATTACATAGTGAACAAATACATGTTGAATGCATAGCAATGGTACAATACACATATATTTATATATACATACACATGCATACGAAATTGTGCTGTTTATGGACAATGAACTACTTCAATGGAAATGAGCAATTAGTTGGTGGTGGATATCCTCGAATTCAGAACAATTGATGAACTTCCGAATATGCCACGATTACTGTCACGATGAGCGACATTTGAATAAATCTTGTTGCTCATCTGCGCACACATTTAGCGAAAGCTTGGGAAACATACTTGTACGTGTTGAACGCAGTAAAAGACGAGAACAAAAAGAAAGAGAAATGCACCGACCGGTGCTACTAACGCCGCTATTTGTTGTCAGTAGCGCCCGTGCGCGTACAACTCGTCCTTTCCACACCAGTCCTTCAGTGCGCTAAAATCGTAAAAGTGCAGCTAACCAACAAACCCGCATCGTCGAAAAACCCTCGTCAAAAAAATATTATTCATGC